ACTTCTGTGCCTGGACCTTCCCTGATGGCAAGGGCCCGGTGGTATTGGGTTCGAGATATCAAAGACCTTGGCATTTTTGGCTATAACAGAATGTAAGGGAACTGTCAAAGAGCCTGGGAACAAGAGAGCTAGGTGTTTAGTGCTTTGGTTTTAGGTCCTTCACTGGCAGAAGCTTCAGTACCACCAGCAGTTCTTTTTCCTGGATATTAGATTTAGTCCATGGCATCAGCTCTTCTGGGATTACCTGTTCCTTTTATTTCCAGGTCCCATCAAGTTTCTGCAGTGCCAGCTCTGTTTGTAAAGCCCATTTGACTGACTCTTGCATTTGACACAGAGCTTCCACTTGCATTCTGTTTTCACCTCATAATAGTGTCATGTTCCAGGCAGGCTGAGTCCAGGGCCCACGAGAGCTCACAGCCACTTAGATTGTCAATGTTCATGCCACCATCCATTGCCTTCAGGGGATGGTTTGCTCCCAGCTTTTCCAATGTTGTGAGTAATTGCTACATGTTGAAACCTGCTAGTTTCAATTCCTCAAGAGACCATCTGCCTTGGGCTCAACAAGTCAGGTTTTAGAAGCCAGAGGCTGTTTCTTTAGAAGGGCTGAGCTAGAGACAGGTCAAATTCTTCTAAATTAAAATCTCTTTAAGCCCAATGCTGGCATCCTTTCTACAGGAATCTGCTCTGTAGCTTCAGAAGATTAGGAAGATAAGAATGCTGCAGAGAGCCATCATTTCTAGAAAGGAGGAAGAATAAGATCTAGACAAGCATCTCTACACCTATTTCCAGTTATTCAAATATTCATCAGTAGCTTTGGAGAAGTCAGATTTCATTCACATTCTTGAGATGAAACTGCCTAGTAGAAATGCCCTCTAAAATAAATTCCCAAGGCCTGGTTTATATTCCTCCTCTTCTCTGCAACTATTTTGATAGCACTTGAGGTCAAAACCTTATTTCTTATGCTGTCAGATCATGTACTCCAACTGAGCTATAAAATTTTTGCAGTGCCTATTAGCTGGTAACTTTCAAAAGCAAAAGCAGCAGGTCATTTATACTGAATGATTTAGGGAGAAGAGAAAGATAGTATAGTTATGAGCATCAGAGTTTCCTTAGGCAGTGGTACAGTTGTTCTGCAAGGGGACTAAATACAAAGGAATTACTGTCCTTGAAGCCCCAAGACCTCCAGGTTAAAGTCAGTGGTATATTACTTCTCCAGCAAAACAAGCTCAAGAGTTTAACATTGCTTTAAAAATAAGAATAGGAAATAGCTTATTTTCACACTGCATATTTAAAAGTGATGAGTTGATACTACTGTGAAAACCAAGAAAACCAAAGTCTTAGCAACAGAGGAATGAAACTGGCCTCTGACATGTATGAGCTTGCAGCAACTGGACCTGTTTGGCTGATAACTCCATAAGTTTTTAAGGTTATAAGTACACCTTGAGTGGGTAGTCCCATCTTTTAAGAGGTTTACAAATGTTTGAGCAGAGTTCAGTGGCATTGATGGGAGTGATGTACTAGAATAGGAAGGAGGCACGCATGGAAATAGCATTTTGTTTGGTTTCCGTGTAGGCACCTTTTCAGAAGACTGGATAACAAGCAGCAAAATAACCATTTAATAAACAGCACTGAGATGACTGACCAGGTAAGATGTGGAGTCCTTTAAACACTTTAAAAACCTGCATAATTTCTCAGACTGGCATGGAACTTAACTTCGAAAAGAACAGGCTGCCAAGGGTACCATGGATTTTCCATTGCTTGGGGGCTTGATACTGAGAGAGGATTGCTGCCTAGAAAAAAACATAAAGTAGTTAAACAAAAATTGCTAGGCTCCCTGCAGGACTCCAGGGGTAGCTCTATGGCCTAGGCAACACCAGATGATCAGAACTGCCCTCTTCTGGTCTTCTGGTCCAGCTCCTGCAATGTGAGATAAACTGAAGCTCTGCTACCTCTACCACTCCCTGACTCCCAGTTTCTCCAGACCAAGTTGACAACATCAGAGATGATAATCTTTGATTCTCTGAATTTGTGTGGATGCTGATAACCAGGTTCAAAATAGGGCTGGACAAATTCATGCAGGATAGACCCATTTGCAGGTATTAAACATGATAGGGATGCAACCTCCAAATTAGGATCTCCCTTCGGCATTCAGAGGCCTAGGAGGAAGGGCAGTAGGAGACAGATTTGGATAGGCCCTGGTTAAATACTTCTTCCCTACACATCTATTCCCTACCACCGTGAGAGACTAATGGGATAGATACACCCATGGGATCTGACCCAGCATGGAGTTCCTATGTTCTTAAATCAGCTGAAATAACCTCTCCTCCCATTTACATCACACACACACTTCCCTCGTTTAATACACTGCCATTGTTCAGGATGGGCCACACTACAGTTTATTTTAAAATAGTGCCATTGCAGTCTGACATTTGTCTTTTGTTTTAAAGGCTTTCTGATCTACAGCACTAAGGGCTTTGGGGAAGGATCAGGCCAGACCTTCTGCCAGCCAATTATTTTGTTTTGACTTCAGTTAGTAGGGTCAGTAACCTCCCGTCAGGGAGATAAGTCACATGTTCAAAGTACAAAAACTCCTTGAATCAGCTCATTACATCCTCTGCCTCCAAACAGCTCTCACATGCTGATCAGTATCCTGAATTTAGCCCATTAGATTTGAACAGCATGAAAAACAGGGCATCACGTGAGTACAAGAAAGAGCCCAGAGATTTGGTTGTAGCAAGAAAGATTGGACAGGACAAGGGTGTTTCTGGGAACAGAAAAAAACAGTCATTCTACCATCTCCCTTCTCATTAAGGAGCCTGAAGTTAGCACTAGCTAAATGAACAGGACGACTGCTGTGGATGTGAGAAGAATAAGTCAGCCACTGGAGACCACCCTGCAGCAGGAGAGGCGCCTTAGATATTTGCTTCCAAAACCACAACAATTGTTTCCTGAGAGGTAGCAGAGCAGGACCAAATGTCAACAAGACCTATTCTTATCTAAACAAGGGTATAAGAATAGGCAGAATCCAGACTTATCTGTAAAACCTTCCAAGGGAGGAAGAGGGTTGAACTCAGCAGTCTTCCTTTTGCATCACTTGCTATTGGCCAATCAGTCATCTTCTGACTCTAAAGAAAGTCTTTTACCTAGTTGCACTGGAACTACAGTCTACTCCAAGCTTAACCTAAGGTACCAGTCAATCTTCATAACAGTCCAGGAATCACAGGGGTTCCAGAGATTATTTGTAATTAGTTCAACTAATTGTGTGTGCAAACTTCCCTCTGTGCACACACCCAAAATCAGCTGCCTTTCTCTCTCCAAGTTGCTCTGCATTATGGTTCTCTGTGCATGCATGAGTGCATGTACATATTATCTCAGCAATGGTAGAATACTCTGGAAATGTAATTGTAGGTGGCTTCACCCTAAAAGGGCATCTGATGTTAATAAGCTCTGCACATGTGCTATAGCTACACTAAAACGGTCATCAAGTTTCATTGCTTTCAGCTCCACCAGGTTCCCACATCGCAGCAGCTTAAGTCACCGTAGCTTGGCACTGCATGTGAGCCAATCCTAGTACTGCATTACCCAGCTTAAGGCCACCGTAATTTCAGTAGCCTTATTTTATTTTTTTTAAGAACAAACACTCAAGTATCTGTAGGCTGGTTGATGCAGGATTAGAACAAGACAGAGTAACAAGAAGAGTGTGCCTTATCCGTCCCAAGTCAGATATACCAGTCAGTTTTCCAGACACAAATCAGAATGATCTGGGATCATCAAGTAGGGAGAGTTCTGCATTGCATAGTTCTGGTTTGTTCTGTTGACTGCCTCCCCAGTCCTATAACCCAACTACTCTCTCCTTCTGACCACTAATGTTTCAGTAGGTCATGAGTGATTGTGCTCCAACTGCCAGAGTAGCAGCCCTGAAGCAGCTGAGCTGAAGGTATCACCCCAGGGCTTAACTCCCAGGCAAGCACTAGGAATATCCTTTCCATGCCAGGAGACAGCTACAGTTGTTAACACAGCCCTGACAGCAAATTAAACACCCACCTATGTTCTGGATGTGATGATAGCGCTCACCTGCCTATAGATACCTCTCAAAGCATCCACAAGGTACATGGTTCTGGGACAAAGGCACCTCCAGCAGCAGCTCAGGAAAGGGAAAGGACTTTCTTGCTGGAATCTGGAGAAGTCCTACTTTTTCTAGCATTTCCTGAAGGCAGGGCATAGACAGTTGTTTTCCAAGGCCTGCTCGATGGGTTTTGTACTTGCAGCTGCCTCCAGGGGCTGTGTCCAACTCTATTAAACATTTAGGGATGACATTAAGTGCACAGTACTTCTTATCTGTCTGATGCTTCAAAAGCAAAAACTAGGATGGGGTGGGGGGAGGGGAGAAAGCAGGTGAGGAGATGCAGATGTGGACAGGGAAGTGAGCGCGCGC